GTAAGTAATGCTACATCCCAGGTGGCTCCAGGGCTGTGGGCAACAATAGTTTCTTCTTTCATCCTGGATTTACGGACCCTGGCACTAAACTACAACAGAACACTCAGAGTGTACTGGAAGTGTAACCTGGTTCATACTGAAGGAGTCATTTTGTTTTTATTCTGGAACTCTGTAACACCAGTTCTTATCAACTCCTCAAAATATATTTTCGAAACATCTTAACTATTCAAACACTTGAATGACATAGCACTGGAAAAAGTTGGAAAGTGTTATGCAATGTCTGACTGTTTCTGAGGGTCATGGCAGAGCCCTGTAAATAGGAAATGATATGCTTGGTTCTTTCAACTGATTACCCCCAAGGGCAGTGTATTAATGCTATAAATTGCATCTTACTGAAGTAATGTGTCCTGATAACTTGAACATGGTAACTTCTGTGCTCACATGTGCACTGTGTAGCCTGTTTAGTAACATTAGAGCAGTGGTTAGGGAAGTAATAGGGTGAAAGGAACAATTGTAGACTCTAGTGGGATTGATGGCCAGCAAAATTGGATTGAGAACTGATTGAGCTAAGAATCTTCCGGGGGAAGGTCACTTTTCTTTTTTTCTTTTTTTGTTCAAGAGAGCAGCAATTTTTTCATTGCTTCCTTAATTCTGAATTCTTTCATTATTTATTCTGTACCTTAGGATTCAGAATTGGGAAGTAATGATTTTAAATTTGTAAGGAATGTGAACACAAATAATGTTTTCCTCTTAAAGCAGATGTGTTTGAAAAAAAGAAGTTAATTAATTATACATATATGTGTGTGTATTTTATACTCCAAAATAATATTCTAAATATTTATATATATATATGTATATGTAATTTAGGATAATGCTAGCAATGCTAGGTATTTCTGAGTGTCACATCACTAAATGTTAGTCAAGGGCTGTTATTGTTAATCTAGAATAAAATACAGAATAATAGAATTTTCCGGAATACCTGTCATTGCTACATAGAGAGTAAAAGTGAACCTTGAAGAACATATTTACATAAAATGTGACGACATTTATGTACTGAGTGTTACCATAATATTAATAGAAATAATATACACTTACAATGCTTAAACCAATGCAAGTACAAATAAATCTCATATGATTTTGAACATAAATTGTTTTAAATGTATGATGAATGAATTTAGTATCATCAAATGCCTTTTTAAGTATGTATTTTTATTTAAGTATGTATTTGTAAACATTATGTAGTAATATCAGTAGTCAAAAATCCAAGTTATATATACATCTGGATCTCTGACCAGAAATGTCAGAAATGTATCCATGTAAAACACATGAAAACCCAGAAATAATGAAAGGGAAGAAGGAGAGTGACACAAATAAATACAGTGGGATTTGTGATATGGGAAAACAAACCCAAATGTATATTCATTGTATTTCCTCAAAAGTTCTTTTATTTTTGCTAGCCCAGGAGTTTGAACTCAGTTTCTATCCCTGAGCTTCTGTTCTCAAGACTAGCACTCTACTACTTGAGCTACAGGTCATGTCTTGCTTTTTGTTGGTTTATCATAGAAGAATCTCATGATCTTTCCTTTTGAGGCTGGATTTCAACAGTGATCCTGAGTTAGAGCTCAGCCTCTAAAGTAGTTAGGATTATAGGTGTGAGCCACCTGTGCCCTACTTCTCCCAATCCTGTTAAATTAATCTTTACTTTCTCCCAAGTATACTTGCAACTTTATAAAGGTATGACAGTGCTATCATACATATATACATGGGGTCCATGATGTACCAAAACGGAATGGGAAGGCAAGATTACATTGGATAAAGCCAGATTTACTTTGCCATCAATTTCTCAGTGGGGTAATTTAACAGTACAAGTGATTTATATTATATTTATATAGAAATATATATTATATTTATATATTTAATATAATTATATAAGTAATATAATTATAATGTATTCATTATAATACAAGTGATTTGCATGCCAAATCTTCCCACTTCTGATCTATTTTATTTTTTTGGTCGGCCGTGGGGCTTGAACTCTGGGCCTGGGCGCTGTCCCTCAATTCTTCAGCTCAAGGACAGCGCTCTACCACTTGAGCTATAGCGCCACTTCTGGTTTTTCTGGTGGTTATTGGAGATAGGAGTCTCACGGTCTCTCCTGCCCGGGCTGGCTTTGAACTGCGATCCTCAGATCTCAGCCTCCTGAGTAGCTAGGATTACAGGTGTGAGCCACCAGCGCCCGGCCCCACTTCTGATCTATCATATCATATGCTTAAGTACTATTGGGTGAATTGCAACCTTACCACTTTTTCATTTAAAAAATACAAACAAATGCTATGTGATATATATAATTCTTTGCCAGATAATTGGAATGGATAAATTCCAGTGATCACCTTTTGATCTTGGTGATGTGAAGAGAAAATGTAGCTACTAGAGAGAGGAGTGTATTTCACCTGGGGAATTGTTTCTAGGAAGTGCAGGAATGGATCTCCAACTGTTAAAGTTACATGTGTGAATTGCATTTATTAGTCAACTGGCATGTACATTATTGTGATTGTTTTGGACAAAGGTATAAATTGTTATTGAGAGAATCGGAGGTCAAGGGTACCTTAAGGGATTCAAATAATTAGAATTCCAAAGAGAATATTTTGGGCTGATTTTGAGTCAAAGGTGGCATCAGTCTCCTGGTAGTTACTGGTGTTTTGGGGCAACCTGGCCAAGGTTAAGCTTGTCTTTGATATGTTTTCCCATATCACAAGTCCCACTGTATTTATTTGTGTCACTCTCCTCCTTCCCTTTCATTATTTCTGCGTTTTCATGTGTTTTACATGGATACATTTCTGACATTTCTGGTCAGAGACCCACTTGGGCTTTTTCTGCTTAGTATGTTTTTGAAGTATACCCCACTTCCTAAGGGCCTTGATCACTGGTTATCAACCCACCCACTTGATTCATAAGCATATCTTTTTCATATAGGTTAATAAGTCATGTTGTAACTTTAACAAAATATTTAATAAAAATGTAATGATATTATTAGGTAGATATCAGCAACGACTAATTCAGACATCTAAGTGACCCAAAGAAAAGAGATCAAGATATTTTTATAAATTTAGCTTTTGAAATTGAATTACCCTCAGTTTTTCATCAGTATAGTTTTCCTAAACTTAAGAAAGTAAAAACTATCCATCAATCATAAGATGTAAGCTGAGAGTTTTTAAGTAGATGATGGTTATTGAAACTTGAAATTCCATGGCTAGATAAAATACCACGACTTGGAGGAATCTGACATTATTTAAATCCTGTTCTGAGAATGTCTGGGCCTCTTTCAATAAAGGTTCCCAAATCAACCCACATAGTTAGGTCATCAAATCTATTTTTAAAAAGACTTCTTTAGACATTTAAGATATATGTTCATACTACGTCTAATTTTTCTTTTCACCATTTATAAACTAGAGTAATACTAACTCAAGCCAGAAACTGATGGCTCACCCCTGTAAGTTTATCTGTTTGAGAGACTGAGATCTGAAGATTGTAGTTCAAAGCCAACTTAGACAGGAAAATATGTAAGACTCTTAGCTCTTAACTAGCAAGGAAAAAGATGCAGCTCATGTGGGAGAGCATCAGCTTTGAATGAAAAGGCAAAGGAATAGTGTCTAGGCCCTGAGTACCAGAAAAAGGAAAAAAACAACAACAGTTATACTGATTCTTGAAATCAAAGATATAAACCAACACAATATTAGCGTTCTTTTATAGATATGTGACTTGAGGATTAAAAAATTTCTTATTCTATATTACATGGGAACTTTGTCTTTGATACTTATAATCATTTGTTACTTGCATAAGTAGAATTATATATTTGTTACTTGCATATGTAGAATTATATTTTAAAACTACATGATTTAACAGATTTAAATTCAGCACTTTCGTTTAGCATCAGTAAAATAATTGCAGACGTTATTTCCACATCATTGTATACTCCTAATATTTAGTATATTTTTTATACTTCCACATCATAAATAAAATGTAGATCATAATAGCAAGAAAAACCTGTTTCTACTAAATAAATTGCAGCTATAAAATATTCCTTATCTGAAATTTCATTGCCATGAATTTTAAGTCTGAGTTTTGGCTACTTCTTCCTATGTTTCAATTTTCTTGTTTGGTTCTATTGGAGTTGATCCATAGACCACTTGAGCCACACCTCCATTCCTATTTTTTCAAGTTCTAGTAAATGTACATCTTTTCCCATATGCTGCTTTACATTCTTTCTACAAGCAGGCAGTGAAAGGAATGCATTTAAAAATAAGATGAAATGATTTTTCATGGGTTAATCTCTTTCAGTGTTCTCTGAAAGCAACAATCTTTTGAACTTCTTTCAGGGTCCCAAAGTGGTTTAGTTATTTTTGTGGTGATTTTCCATTAAAAGTACCACTAAAAAAAAGTTATAAATAAAATCAAACTCTAGCTCTTCATCTACCCTAGACTTGAGGATTGGTCTGTTCAGTCGAGATCTGTGTCACCAAATGTGGGGCTGTTAAGCCTACAACCAATAAAATCATCTTGGGATCTTCATAGCGTTGAGAACATGCTGTTTTTCGCTCTTTGTGTGTTTTCAAAAGTTTTATTTTTACAAGTGTCTGTTAGCAGTGGAATTCTGAGTGTGTTTTTGGCAGACATCCTCTCTTCACATGGAAACACAGAAAGCAGGAGAGTGGGATAAGAAAGCCTAGAAAAAGACACAATTTGTGCATATGGGCTTATTGCTGCATCTGCATACTGATTTCATAATTTGAGATTTGGGATTTTGCTTTACAGAGAATGGCATGTTCTATATTTATTATAGATATTGTATATTTAGAATCATAAACACTTTGGAGTATAATCATTACTGTTTATCCCCATGTTTCTGCTCAGTGTATAAACATCAGTGTCAAAGTGAAGCCAGAGTTTGCAAACAGGCAGAGACAACACTCTATTTCAAATTTTTTCAGATTAGTAAGGTA